GAGGTCCTTCTTCAGCTACTTCTAGCTGGCGTACACTGTCGTCTCGATCTTCTCGGACCTTCTTGAGCTACTTAGAGGACAATGGGCAATGGGTGTTGGCGGTCTCGATCTCCTGCGTCTTCGTGACCATCGCCTTGCTACTATTCCTCGATAAGACCTCCACGTGAATCCCTTCGACAACATGATCGACAACATCTGCCAGGTCGCATCCGCGGCTTGCAGGAACTGGAAGCCTAGCGTGTCGTTTGACATGCAGATCCTGTATGAAGGCGATGAGAAGAGGGACTCTCATGCAATGAAGTTTTGCACGAATGGCACAAGGGCAGGGAGGAAGACATATTCTGCACACAAAAGGCTTCAGGTTCCTCAACAAAGCGGCCCTCACAACCGCAGACACCAACTCCAAGCTCGCCACTTGTAGCCAAACACAGGAGAAGTGGAAGTTGTGCACGGTGACACATGTGAAGCAAGTGAAGAGCATCCTAAGGACCCTCCTTATCTGACTCTACTCTGTCGTTTACAATCGATGGTGTCGCTCATCGTCATGCAGAGAACCATGATGTGCCGAACCACACCTTGGCGCAGCTTTTCAATCCTTGCATCCAGCATGTCAGTCTTCAACATCCTCATGGTCGCAACCACCACCAAACAATAGTACATAATATCTAAAAAGTGAGATATATACTACCCAAATATTCTTATATACTACGTGCAACACATACATATTCTCGGCTTTGATAGATTATGTTGCGACCGCGATGCGTTGAACCACTATTTAAGTCATTTAGTACATTTATTTGCATTAGCGAATATTGGATTAAAATGTCAACACTGATCACTCACTAAAAAGGTTGATGATGACGTGTCATCAATGACCTCCACTTGGAACGGCTGGTTAGTGATAAAGTACGAGTCATCACTGACCACGCTGTAAAACAGGTTGGTCAGTCATGAGTGACCCCTTGAACTGGCGGTCAATGATGATAGTCATCAGTGATGCACATTTCGTGACATGCCAGTGAAGAGCCTCATCTTTGACCAGTGGCCAGTAGGCGGTCAGTGATGGGCTCAATGTTGTCTGATCCTATAGTAGTGGGGAGGAGGGACAATAGTATCGAACAAGTCACACAAGGATTAATATCACATTACCACACATTTTTAGATACGTTATAAGCCTTGTTTCTAATTCATGATGAAAATTTAATGAATGTATGATGGCATAATATACAAAGTTTTTTGTTTAAAGATGCAAACACCTTTTGAAATTTCGAACATTTTTAAAAATTTTATTTTGAACATTTTTTGAATTTCAAAAAGTTCTAAAAACTCAATCATTTCTTGAAAATTCCAAAAGAATGGAAATGACAAAAGTTTCCGAAACAAAATTTGAAAATGGGAATATTTTTAAAATTTCTGAACACTTTTAAAAGACACAAACCATTTTCAAATCCCCAAACATCTTTTTTAATTTGTGATTTTTCTTAAAAAGGTAGTAACATTTTTTGAAAACTCTGATTTTTTCCCTGAAACATACTAAAAGTGTTTGAAATTTCAAAAAAATGAATTTATGAATGATTTTAAAACAAAAAGATATTTTGAAAAATAAAAAAAACTTGAAAAAAAGTAAAATCCAAAACTAAAAAGAAAAGCCAAAGTTCACTTTAGATAAAAATAATATTTTAATAACGTTCAGTATGAATTTAGAAAACATTAGTTGTCATTATAAAAACACTTATAGTGCAGAAAAATTATTGAATAAAATCCTCGGAAGAAAAACCGTCCCGTAAGATAAAAAAAATAACACCGTGTGTTGAAGAGAGGAGAGAAAAAATAATAAGGAAAAGGAAATATAAAGAAATAAAAAACGATGGAAAAAAAGAAGCAGAATAGAAAGCCGACAAAGAAAAACTACAACAGAAAATGGGAAAAAAAAGAACTGTATCAGCGCAGCAAACGAAACAATAGCAGCAGCCAGGAAACCCCAAAACTGGGCCGGCTTAACGCACCTCGCCTGCGGCCTGGCGCTGAATTGTACGCTGCGTCCGATCGACGAGGCTTCGCTGAAGCGAAGCGCAAACGGGCCGCCCCAATAAGCACACGTCCAGCAAAAATTCGAAAACGAAGCGCACAAGTTGGGAGAGCAACTAGTTAATAATGAGTGCTTCTTCGGGAGCCTCGTAACGATTAGCGTCACTTGGCGCGCTCTCAGCCATTCGCCACGTGTCGCATTCTGAGCGTTCCTTTCGAATTTAATTTTTTTATTTTTCCACGCGTTTTTGTCTTTTGAAACAGTTTTTTGGTTTTTTTTCGACGTTTTGGTTTTTCATCGGTCTTTCTTAGCTTTTCAAACAAAAAAAATTTAAAAAAATCGCGTGAAAAAATGTTTCTTTTCTTTTCGCGAGAGGCACAGTTTTGCTTTCGCGAGAGTCATAGCCGTGCCTCTTGGAAAAGAAAAAAAATGCATTTTTTTTCTTTCGCGAGAGTCACGGTTTTGCTCCCACGAGAGGCACGAGCGTGCTTTCGCGAGAGTCACGGTCGTGCCTCTCGGAAAGAAAAAAACACGTTTTCTGTTTTTTTTTCTTTCGCGAGAGTCATGGTTTTGCTTCCGCGAGAGGGACGGTTGTGCTTCGCGAGAGTCACGGCCATGCCTCTCGAAAAGGAAAAAAAATGTGTTTTCTGTTTTTTCTTTCTTTCACGAGAGTCACGGTTTTGCTTCCGCAAGAGACAATGTTGTGCTTTCATGAGAGTCACGACCTGTGCCTCCTCGAAAACGAAAAAAAGTTTTTATTTCCTTCCGCGAGAGTCATGGTTTTAGTTCCGTGAGAGGCACAATTGTGATTTCGTGAGAGGCACGGGCGTGCCTCTTTCGGAAAGGGAAAAACCCGTGCTCCCTGTTCGGTTTTTTCGTGAAAAAAAGGTTTGTCAAAACCTATCAACATGGGATCTAGTTTTGTAGATCTCGACGTGAGGAATCCAACGGTGAAAGCGGTTCGAGATTTGGACACACGGTTTGAGAGATAAAACGTTTTAAATAAACGGATCTATGAAAAAAAGAAAAACTTACCGGTTACGACAAGTGGCGCGCTGCATGTGCCTCACTTGTTATAACCCGATGAATTGAAGTGATTTTTGCAACGAGTACTCTTCAATTAATGATTTTGACATGTTGGGATTGAACTCCCGACCTCGTTCTGAATTCAAACGAGCCAACCAGCCGAGCTGGCTACCTACAACCATAAGATTGCAGCGCCTGTCTTAAAGTATAAAAGGCAGCGGTAAATCATGTTATTTTTTAAATAAATATTTCTATGATATGCGTTGAACAAAATTTAAAATACAGAGAATTGTTTTTGAAAAAAACGCTGGAAAATTTTCAAATACACAACTGAACATTTTTTAGTATACGTTGAACAATTTTTTTATATATGATGAACAAATTTTCAATACACAATGAACATTTTTAATATACATTGAACAATTTAATAATATAATATGAAATTTTTTGTAATACATGATGATCAATTTTAGAATGCAAGGTGCACTATTTCATAATATACGATGAATTAATATGGTGAAGATTTTTGTAATACGTGGTGAACTTTTTATATAATGCGGAATAAAGAGAAGAAAAACAGAAAGAGAAAATAAAAAGGAAACATAAAAGAAAAAAAGAAGCAAAAAAAGGAAAAATAAAAAACAGGAAGAAAACAACCGAAAACCGGGCAAAACAGTGAGTACACTGAAAGAAAAAATCGTAGAAGAAAAACGAATGAAAACCCGCAAGGAATAGAGAAGGAAGCAGCAGCGAACGCATCAAACGGCAAACGCTAATCCCGTACATGGGCCGGGCCAACCGGAGGCTCCCTCAGCGAAAGCACAACATTCTGACGCTAACGAGCGTCAAATAGGGTTTGCCGAATAGTACTACACGTAGATGGCATCCTTTGTCTCAAAAAAAAAGTAGATAGCATCCTGGCCCATTATGGACGGAAACGCTTGCAGGCGTCCTATTTTAGCGTACTTCCATCCGGTCCTTTTTACTCCGCACGTTAACTTTAATTGAAGTGAAAGTTTGCTAAGTTTGACTAAATTTATATTAGAAAATATTAACATCTATAACATCTACTCCCTCCGTTCCTAAATAATTGTCTTTCTAGACATTTCAAATGACTACTACATACGGATGTATGTAGACATATTTTAGAGTGTAGATTCACTCATTTTGCTCCATATGTAGTCATTTGTTGAAATGCCTAGAAAGACAAGTATTTAGGAACGGAGGGAGTAATAAATATAATATGAAAATATATTTCGAGATGGATCTATTAATAAATGTGTTGTTATGTGAATGTTAATAATTTTTTGTATAAACTTGGTCAAAGTCGATTGAGATTGATTTTAGACAAACCTAATGTGCAGAGTAAAAAAAAGCAAAGGGAGTACCTGCGTTTCCAGGTTTTGGAAAGTTTCCACCGGTTTCGCTGATCGCGTTGGATCAACTAGGCACAGACGGTTTCGGAACTCGGGGAAAAAATCCGACTTCGATTTGAACCAGGGCTCATGAAGAAGCGGTGCAGCGCTAACTGCTTGAGTTAATCACGGCAGAGTCTTAACTACGCTAGGGCCTACGAGACTTAATAGAGGCCGCTAGGCATCTCATGGGCCTATTCTTTTTCCCGCTTTTACACTTGAGACAAGGAGGGCCCAGTACGTGGCTTCTCGTGGACCTTTCCTTTTCTCCGATTGCTTGAGATTAGGGGAGGCCTGGTACGTGAAAGTAGATAAAATTGATACGTTTACCGCTAACTATAGGTAGTTTCCTCGATCGTTAGGGGGGGCCAGGCCCCTGCTCGCCCCCCTTGGCTCCGCCACTGGCCAAGGATCCGAGCCGTGTGATCCCATGCCAGGCCTGGTCACGGAGGAGCGTCGCGCCTTCGCCTTTCGACGTTGACGAAAGGGTGAACTCCTACGCCACGCACCCTGACGGACGCACCGTCTTCATGTCCGCCTTCCAAAGGCCGTGTCGCCGCGCCGGCGGTCCATGCGCCCGCACCTTCTCCTTCAACTCCGGCGACGGCGAATGGAGGTGCCACGGGGAGTGGGCGTTGCCTTTCAACGGCCAAGGCTACTACGACGGCGACCTGGATGCGTGGGTTGGGCTCGAGAAGGACGGCCACATCGGCACCTGCCGAGTCGTCTCCCGTAGCAGCACAGCAGTTGGTGCCCTGGCCATGCAGCAGCAGCTCGACTGGAAGATGGCCAAGGACAAGCTGTGGAGTGAGGGGCAGCAGGCGGTTGATCATGGGCCTACTCTCACTGCCATGGGCAACGCCAGATTCTGCCTTCTGGACTGCGTCAAGGGGATGGAGTCCCATGGCCGCATGCTCCGAGTCACAACGTTTCGCCTTAGGCACAGCCGCAAGGGAGAGCTGGAGATCTACGACCGTAGCACTAGGTCATGTCCGGTGTCTAAGCACCTCAGGTGTTTCTCACCCGTTGCGTTCTGGATGTAGTGCTGTTTATTTGGCTTGAGAATAATATGTTGCCACGCATATTCCAGAAATGCATACTTTTCTCTCCAACCTGGTTTATTTAATTAAAGTGCGGCGGCGAAATCAACACCACGGACACCCCCATTCGTATTTCAAACCAGGTAGCACAGTGGCCTGCAATATGCATGGCAACATATTAATTGTATTTTTATTTTGGATTGATTCATTATAGAAATACATTTGTTGTACCAAGAGGTAAGGCAAGAGTCTTTTATCAGATGATATTTGGCTTAGAGGACACTTAACGGAGTACACGATATAAAACACATGGTAAAAAATTGAGATCTCGGCTACCGAGCACATCTACAGGGACGACATTGACCAGGCGATAATTGCACGACTTGCGTATCACACCCTCCATGAGCAAGTATAAAACAGTAGCAAACGGCTGGGTTTGCCATCGTGCCAGTATCGTGCACTGTTGTGTCGTGTGTGAAGTACTTCCGCCGCGTACCTGACAATAAGCCGAGTTCGGCTCTAAGATACACCTCGTTTATATATGGAACTAGGCATATAGCCAAGAAGGATTACGGCTTTCAGAAATACGCGGTACAATTTTCTGCCATGTGGCAATCATGGATGTGGTTGCCGTGACGACGTACACTATAAGCCAGGTGTAAGCCTAAATTGCTTGGCTTATAGTAAATATAAGCGGAGCGCCCGGCATAATACACTCGGCTTATAATTTATCTATCTTTTTAACAAAACTTCATTAGATATCCTAATTAATGTTTTAATTATTATTTTCATTGTATTTATGTTTACTTATTGCATTTTATTTCTTTCCCCTCTCTTTCTCTCCATTTTCTTCCGACTAGTTTTCACCGCCCCTACGATGCCGCAATTTATTTTCCATTCTCTTTCTAATTACCGTCACTTTGTCACTTTAAAGTTGTGGTATTACCTTAGCCTCTTTACACCCCTTATTAATACACACACACATTAGTTTCACATGTAAAAGGATAGGGTTTGTTTAAGGCACATCTAGATGTGCCCTAGGTATTGCACATCTAAGTGACTCAATTAAACTAGGGAGAAAAAGAAAATAGACAAAAGAAAATGCTTGCACAAATCTTAACCTAAAATCAATGACATAGGACTTAGATGTGCAATACTTATAGCACATCTAGATGTGCTTTAGCAAAACTGAAATGTGCATATAGTTCCGACCATTAAATATCCAGTACACAGCGTTGATGTGTCACTTGCTTCACAAACAGGACTATCTGCCACGAAGGTTTCTACTTTGTGCAGTAATGAGGGAGTGGCGCTAGCTTGTTGGTTTTGTGCCGAGCTGTTAGGTAGCTGCTTTCTCGATCTATCTTTCCTTTGGGCTTCTCAGATGGTGGATTCATGGTGGAAGACTAGCGTTGTGCTAGCATTGGGGGAGAGTTAGAACCGAAAGACTAGGCGCTGCGCTAGTACTTGTGGCAATAGATCTAACCTCAAGGTCAAAAGACGACTAGGTTGAGAGATTGAGTCCTTTTGGGACGAAAACTAGTGCAGTGAGAGTAATTCCGAGAGGCAAATACACGAGTGAACTGGGTTTTGTGGGGGATGTGCATCGTACATGGGCCTGCATGTGCCACTAAAGTAAGGGAGTTAGAGAAAAAAGGAGAAACATTTTAGTGTAAATGGTCCGATGGTCAATTCGATTAGTTTAGAATGAAAACTTTCGATGAACACAAACAACTAGTGATTAAAACAGGGAACCGAATACCATAAACTGAATAACCAGGAATATCGGTCAAGTTCAGTTCTTCCACTTTCGGTGTGAAAATACTCACCTCTAACCGTAATAGCCGACTAACTCATGACGGACAACACTATGACCAATATGATGCACAACACGTGTCACCCTCTAGTGATCAGTTATAACCCAAGTGATAAACACTATGATGGGCTGGTGGTGCAGGAACAATTGCCCAAATCTAATTCTATGTGTGGTGTTTAACGTCGTACCTGTAGGGTAGGGCTGCCACTAATCCTAAACCACAACATGGATTTCTGATGCCCTTGTTCTCACCTGATCGATACCAAGCTTGTCACAGACGTTGTTTTAGACAGTACACTCGGGGGTCTCGTGTGTTTGACAATTTGTCGTTGCCAAGGTCTCACCGTCCTCGTCTCAAGCTCATGGAGGATTTGTCTGGACCGCAACAGGGGATGCTTCCTTCTCCAAATCAACCAGACTTGAACAACTGAGGTAGATGGATGGATCCTTCTGCAACTGTCCGGAAGCCACAACAACCAACCTAACTTGTAGTTCATCATAGGTGCAACCCTCAGTTGGTCCTCCAATTTACATATCACGATCATTGCTTCACTCTTGTGAAATTTATCTTTAGCCCTAAGATTGCATCGAAACGCATTAGGAGGAACTTTAGGTTGATAATATCCACCTCGGAGTGTCGGATGATAATAAACGCCCACTGAGCAGAATATCCAACCGAGGGTTCACATCTACCATTGGCATGCATGAGTCTCTCACAATCCAAACAAAAGTAGGGAATTTTTTTCATATGTGAAATCAAACCATGTCCCTTGCTTATCCTCCCACGAAGATCGCAGAAAAATCCCCTTTTTAGTGGTTCAGTCACCCCCATCTTAGCTCTAACCCGAAGGTCCTTTCCTCATGCAAACCCATCTTGCTCCACATCGACCTTCACCACCTCTCCTAACCAATTCCGCGGAGCTTTCCCAAATGCCTCACACCTCTTATCAAGTGAAGAGCATCCTACAGACCCTCCCTGTCTGACTCTACTCCGTTATTTACACCCAGCTGGCGTTGCTCACCATCGTGTAGGGAACCGCGGTGCGCCGAACCACACCTAGCTAGGTGCGATTTTTTCAATCTTGGCATATCCAGCATGCGAGTCTTCAACATCCTCATGGTCGCAACCACTACCTTCTTGTATGAGCGGACCATCTGCCAATTCCCGGCACGAATCATTGGACACCCGACCAAACCCACCAAGCTGCAGAGCATGGTCCTTTGACTGGTCCTCGACGTAATGGCCATGGCCATCGCCGACCCGGTCGAGCACTTCAGGAAGGCCAGCACGGTCACCGCAAATAGAAGTGAGCTGCACATCCTAATGTTAAATATTATGTTAAATTTGGCCCAAATAGTTGAAAGTTATG